ACCACCACGACCCTGGACAGTTGACGACCTCGACAGATGCCTGAAAAGTGAGCCCGACAAAGGCAGCAGAGTGGACGTGTTGCGGCGCAGTGATCTGCGACGGCTGTACCACGGTCAGGACGCCACGCACTGACCGACCTCTTCAACGAGTGCGAGCAGCACCTCATGTGGCCATAGTGCTTTCATTTGCAATGATCACTTCCAAGCCCACCAAGGGAGACAAAGCCCTTGGCCTACGACCGCAACTATTTTGCTGCTGGGAGCTGTAGCATCGAGATCAAGTTCGAAACTGGGCAAAGGCACACGAACGAGAATGTGACGCGGCCATCGCGGGCAACAGCTGTCTGAGAGAGGCGCTCCGCTGCCGCATCACGGACGAGTGCGCGGACACGTTCAACATGACCGAGTCCATCTTGCTTGCCGACAGTGGGACGTTCTACGACAGCCTCAGGGTGGACAAGACAGTACCAGCGGCACTGCACATGCAGCTCCCAGCGCGACAACTGTACCAGATGAGGCTCCAACCTACTGCCATAAGAGTGTTGCGCAGACGCGGGCGAAGGCCAACCTGACGCAGCAAGGCGCCATGATCTCGCTCAAGTACGGACCAGCACTCCACGGAATGGCGGTCAGATCACTGCTGCACGCGAGACGTAAGTACGCCCAAGCACTACGATGCCCATGGCCTGGAAGATGCCTGACCACCTACTTGGACTTGGCAGGCGTAGACCCAGCCTACACCATCGCAAAAGCGAAGTTCGCCAACTTGTTCAATTGCTGGGGACGTGGCCTTACCTGCGAGCTCAGGTACGGCGAGCATGGCCTAAGAATTATGTCAGAATGCTCAAAGTTCCAGACAACAGAAGATGGACCCAGGGAAGAAGAGGACCGAATGCAGCGATCACACTCGCACAATGGGAACTGGGCTGGGACTCCAGAGGGCAAGAGCACTGGATCGACCGCGACAAGAACGACTGGAAATTCCCGCAGGACGGCGAGCTAGGAGACCTCACAGACATCCTGGACGCTATCATGAGAGACGTCCAACTCAAGCTGTGGCAATCAGCCGCAGATCAATACAACGGGAAAGGAAAGGCCTTGAAAACCACAGAGCGGACACGACAGACTTGAGAAGACACCTGGAATGGCTACGCAAGCGAGTGAATACGGAGGGCTACTATCGGCGGCTTGTGCAGGTACCTGGACACGAACGCAGAAGAAGGCTGCATTCGGACACGGATGCGATTGCTGCGCATGCGGATCCACGGACGGCGACTGCCACCGAATGTGGGAGCGATGCCAATGCAGGAGCGACGACGCAGCGTACGAGAAGTCAGAACGCCTACGCACTCAAGCAGCAGAAGACCACATCGACGCGCCCGTGTTCTGGACATGGGGTATCACACCATGAGCATGGTCAGTGCCGCCAGAATGCACAACCTCCGAGATGGCCAACAACGTAGGGGAGATGATCCACGCCGGCCGCATCCAGCCCCCCGACGACAACCCCCTCGTGATCTACGGAGACGGCTCAGGTGGCAAGCGCAGCGCGGACTGATGATACCAACAATGTGGTTGGGCTTGGGCACGGCTTTCCACAACTGACGACGACAACTGCCAGTCAGCTCACAGCAGCACGCTACGGCCCACAGACACACAGACGGCAGACCAGCAACAGAGCGGAGCTCTGGGCACTACTGGACTGCCTAGAGGGCCACTACGCTACTGGACCGACAGCGAGCAGGAATCCCACCAGCCCTCTGGGCGTCGGTGGTTTAGAGCGTTTCCTCTTCCACCTCTCCCTCTTCCCCTTCGGGGAGGGGTTTACCCCTCCCCCTACCCCCTCCCACTGACCTGGACAGAAAGGGCGGGGAGCGGTCAGAGCGTCCAAAACGGCCTCGGCGAGGAAGCCAAAATCATTGATTTTACTATGGTTTTGGCCCCATTTTGGCCTTCTGAGGGGGCAGCGCTAATTAGAGCTCCCCTCTTCTTTGATCGATTTCCTCTACGATAGCCGCAAGAGGCCCCCAGGATGCCCCAAGAGGCCCCGAGATGGCCCCAAGATGGCCCCATGTGGCCCCAAGAAGCTCCCAAGAGGCCCCCAGGATGCCCCCAAGAGGCTCCCAAGAGACCCCCACGAGGCCCCAAGAGACCCCCCAGAGGCACCCAAGACGCTCCAAGAGGCCTCGGCGAGAATGCCCAAATCATTGATTTTACTAAGGTTTTGGCCACATTTGGGCCTCCTGGGGGGGGGGGCACTGCTTCAGATGACTCCAAGAGCGCCTGGGAGAGCCCAAGATGACCTCCAAGATGGCTCAAGATATCCCAAGATGCCTCAAGATGGCTCCCACGATGCTCCAAGAGGCCCCAAGACCGCTTCAGGACGGCTCCAAGTGGCCAAAGAGCTCCCCCAGGAGGCCCCGAAGAGGCCAAAATCCTTCCAAAACCTTCGGAAAATCAACATTTTGGGCTTTCTCGCCTTTTCGCTTCCGATGGCCATCCGAGGCTTCAAGATGACTCCAAGATGGCCCAAGAGGGCTCCAAGAGCGCTCTGAAGGCTCCCAAGAGCGCTTCAAGAGGGCCCCACGAGGCGCCCATGAGGCCCCAGGAGGCCCCAACAAGCGCCCCAGAGGCCTCCAAGAGGCCCCCAAGAGACCCCCAAGATGCCCCAAGAAGCTCTCCAAAGCACCCAAGACGCTCTAAGAGGCGTCCGGGACCGCCAAGAGGCCCCTAAGACGCTCCAACCGGCCTCCACTGGGGTACCCTTCCTTTGTGTGCTGCCCACTTCCCTGATCGAGGCACTTCCTCTGGGCATCGTTTCTGGATGGGCTGGTGGGGTTACGCGAAGCGTCTAGAATTCAATGGATGGTGCAGCAAGCGATATCTACGTGCAACGAAGTGGGCACCAACGGCGACCTGTGGGAGCTCATCTGCAAGGAGCTCAACCTACGGGGCCACAGGGTAGACGAGGAAAATGAGGTCCACCAAATCAACAGCCATCTCACCTGGGAAGAAGCCACACCGCGTGAATTCCCACTACATGCATGGCACTGCAACGGACAAGTGAACAAGCTCGCGAGACAGCAGCACACGAACACGACATCGACGACGCACAGATGGCATGCTACGATTGGATCAACGCCACAGCAGCACCTGTTCGACGAAGAATAGCGACAGCCACAGTAGACGCCATCGACAGACGCCCATCCGATGAGAAAGAAGTACGAGAAGCCAGACTTGAAATGAAGCGGCATCGGAGAGTCCAACAACGACGACGACGGGACTACTTCGCTGGCGGACCTGACCAATCAGAAGGCGGAAGACGACCACCGACTACACACAACCTGACGAGGCCAAGACAAGGCAAAGGTTGGAAATGCAAGTACGCAGCACGGCACATCAGCACACCCAACCCACCCGCTCGTACTGCTCAGAGCGAAGCCAGATGGTTCTGCAAGCCATGCGGAGCAACGACGACAGAGTACATCTCGGATAACTGAGAAACGAGTGCAAGAGACGAGCAGGATACAGCAGCATCAAGTACACATTACTCCACTGGCTCGGCGAGGCGGAGAAAGAAATCGGAGAACGAGGACACGATAGCGGCTCGAAAAACAGCACCACACCCCCTCTGCAGAGGGCTGCTGTGAGAACCGACCTGCTTGAAGAGAAATAGCCTACGTTTTGCCGAGTTACGCATCTGACACCCACCCGCAGCCAGCACGACGAGGACAACAGCGGCTTGCGGGATAACCAACAGGCACGCACCACACCGCCTCACACGAGGCTGGATGTGAGCACTGCTTGGTTGGCACGTCGCCCGCGTTGTGCCGAGATGCCTCATCAAGCGACCGCGACCCGTCCAACGAGACCAGCAGTACGACCATAAAGAGCCAGCAGGCACGCACCACGCCACCTCGCGGGAGGATGGAGGTGAGTACCGAACTGCTTGGCTCCACGTCGCCAGTTTTGCCGACATGGCAAGGACACCGATATCCAGCTCAGGAGTCAAACAGTTGCAAGCAACGGGGCTGAGGGGGGGGACGGCCACTCCCTGCGTCAACCAGGTGGGGCGGTTGGTGAAGGTCAGCGTGCTGAACCGCGCCGGCCGAATCTGACCGCTCCCATCACGGACACGAAGCAGGACCAGCACCATGACAGCATTCCGCAGCACGATGACAACCTGTCTGGTACTGCCACCCTCATTGGAAAACATGTCGCGGCGGATGCTCACGGCTGCTGCCGTGTGACGGATCTCGGAGGTGGAACGACGACACGCCACAATGCGAGCCCGACAGCACCGCTCCCCGCGCCTCCGCCAGATGCGCGGGGGGGGAAGGGGCGGTCCCCAGGGACGCGGCCCCCAAGACCACTGCTGCGAGAAGGAGATTGACGAAGAGGCAGAGGCCGCAGCAGCAGCAGCACGACGACAACTGGACTGCCACCTTCCTTGGAGGGCATGTCGCAGCAGATGTACGTGGCGCGAGTCGCGGGGAGTCTCCTGTGGGGTGCTGAGGGCCTCGGAGGCGGAACGGGGACACCACCGACGAGACCATCCGCACGGCTCCCTGCGCCTCCGCCAGACGCGCAGGGAGAGAGGGCGCTCCCCAGGGACGCGGCCCTCGGAGCGGCGGCGGCCAGCGCCCGCCCACCCTCACCACGGCTCCCTGCACCTCCGCCGAGTGCGCAGGGAGAGGGGGCGGTCCTCGGGGACGCGGCCCTCGGAGCGGCGGCGGCCTGCGCCAGCCAGGCGCGCGGACCACCCGCCGCAGGCAGCCACTGCGGCTGGGGCGGAAGGCTGGAAGGTCCCTGGCACGGGACGCAGGCGCGTGGGCGCGCGACCGCGTACAGCCCCCCCCCCGCACCGCGTGGCCCGACTCGCGCAGCTCGGCCGGGATGCCTGCTTGGTGAGGGCGCCAGCTCGTGGCCGCGCTGGCGCGGGGTCGTCAACTGGGCCGCGCTGCGCGGCATCTTCCTCGTCCTCCGCCTCCTCCTCCACTCCTCCTCCCCGCCGAACTCCTCGGGCGCAACCAGGGGCGCGCGCCTCGGCTCTTCAGCCGCAAGCGCCGCCGTACGTGGGCCGCCAAACCGGACACCTGACAGCTCTGACCACGTCTGGGCTCGTCTCAGGCGAAGGATCGGCTGGGCAACAGAAGCGAGAGGACGGAGAGCGTTCCGAGGAAAACAGGTGGCGACAAGGGTGGCGAGCGAGGCATGGGAGGGGGTGAGCACGCCACAGCAGGCGAGAGGATGGGAATCGAGAAGTGACCAGCTACGTCATAGGAAAGATAATTCACCTGGGGCACTTCCCACGGGTGTCAGAATCTCTCAGCGCAGCTCGGGCAGCCAAGGAGGCACGGGGAATGCTTCTCAATGCAACTGTCCGAGATCCACGCAGCAGCGAACGTGTTGAGTACAGCAAAAGCAACGGGCAGGTCACCACTTGACATCGACCCCAATCTATACCATCGGCTCTCCTCGAAATACTCTGGACACCAATCCCGTAGGCGAGCGATGCAGGTGGAGGTGAGCTCTTGACGCTCTCCCAGTCGGCGCCCCTGACCCCCGCCCCTCCCGAGCCGCCTACAGCGAGGAATTAGTGCAACCGAACCTTCACCCGGCAGCCGGCCTCTGGGCGATGAACGGGCGGAGCTCACGGGTCCGCGTGCGGAGCAACGGGCTCGCGCTCCACCTCTCGGCCTCTGTAGCCCTGCAGCTGTGACGCTTCGACCTCGAGAATAGCCGCGGCGGGTCCAGCCCCAGTCAGCCGCGCCCCGTTCCACATTTCTGAGAACTCCCGGGCGTCACCGGGGGTGACGAAATTAACAAGCACTTCCGTGGTCCCGGCGTCGAAGTCCGTTGGGGTGTAGGCGAAGTCATAGCGTCTCGCGAAGCCACACCTGTCGATGAGGTCAAGCAAATCCCTCTGCGTCGCAGCCATCGGAATGTTACGGACCACAAGCGTAGTGATGGCTGGAGCGCTAGGGGCGGCGGGCGCTGCCCTTACCAGGCTGGCCTCCTGCTGGAGAATGCTCTGCCTGATCTCCTGAGCCTGCCGCTGGAGCTCTGCCAGCAGCTGCTCCTTCTGTGGCAACTCTGGGAGCCTCCCATACCATCTTGTCGGCTCTTGCGAGTCGACGCTAGTCGACGCTAGTCGACGCTACATCGGCGCTGAATCTACGCTGGCCGTCGTGGAATCGGCGCCACCTCATCTACGCCCAGACGCTCATCCAAGGCAATCGACGCTGAAGACAGAACATAACTACGAGGGTATACAAGGTTCCCATGATTTGCTGCCGAATGTGGTGGGCCTGTTTTCCACCGCCTCCACCAGAAGCAGGCGGGGGAGTGGGTCCTCCTCGTCCTCGTCTTCCTCCTCCTCCTCCTCCTCCCCCCCTCCTCCTCCCCCCCTCCTCCTCCCCCCCTCCTCCCCCTCCTCCTCCTTCCCCCACCGAGCTGTTATGGTGGTGGTGGTGGACGACAGGCCCATCACCGAGTGCTCCTGCTCCGCGAGCCTGGCCCGCTGCCCCTCCAGCGCCCTGCTTACCAGCCTGGAACATATCCCTATCACTGTGCTGGGCACCTCCTCATCACGATGCCGATCTTAGGGATCCCCTTCTTTTTGGAGGGCGGCTCCCTGAGATTGTCATCGCCTTTTGGCGTGTCAACCTTACGGATAGGGACACGTTCGAGGCTCGTAGCCTGCGGAGGGCCGCACGCGCGGCCTGCCGGGCGGCCTCCGCCTGCCGTGCGCGCGCCGGCCGCCACACGCCCGGGGGCCGCCGCGCGGGCGCTGCCCCCGCGGCGGGGCGCGGCGGCGCGCCGGGCGGCGCGTTCCGCGAGCCGGGCGGCGGCTGCACGCCGGCGGCGCCGTGCGAGGGGACGCCTCCAGCAGGGATCGACCTGAACTAACCAGCCTCGAACGTATCCCTATCCCTAAGATTGACACGCCAAACGGCGATGACAATCTTAGCGATTCGCCCTCAAACAATAAGGGAATCCCTAAGATTGGCATCGTGATGAGGAGATGCCCAGCATAGGGATAGGGACATGTTCCAGGCTGGTAATGAACCGTGCGTGACGTCTTCGCCTTGTTTTCGCTTTTTCCCCTCGTGTTGTCCTTCGCTTTGGCTTGTTGCTGTTTTCGGTGTCGCGTTGCCCCTCGTCCTGTTTTGGTTTTCGGTTTCGCTTTTGCCTTCGGTTTCATGTTTTCCCCTCGTCGTGTTGTCTTTTGCTCTGGTTTGTTGTTGTTGTTGTTGTTGTTGTTGTTGTTGTTGTTGTGTTTGGTGTCGCTTTTGCTTTCGCTGTTCGTTCTTCGTTGTCCCTCGCTCCTGCTGCACAGCGGAGCCGACACGAAAGCGGCCCACGACACCGCCCACAAACACACCGTTCGGGTCGACCCCTCGGCCTCCTCCAGGCCGAGGCGGCGGCCGCTCGCGAGCGGCCGGCGGGGCGCCGCCGGCACCCTCCCGGGCGGGGTCCCGCCCGTGCTCATCGGGCGGGCTCTCGGGTGCGCGGCCGCCTCCGGCGGCCGCCTCCGGCGGCCGCGCGCCCGGGTCGAGCTCGTCGTCGGTCGCCCAGGGCTCGCCGTCGCGCTCCTGGCAGGGCGGCGGAGACCGCGTGGCGGGGAGCGACGTCGTGGTGGCCTCCTGGGTGGTGGGCAGGGAGCGTCTGCTCGGCAGCGACGCGTGGCTGTGATCTGAGTCTTGGCCGGATGCGTGGGAGGCCACGCTGGGATAAACTGCGAGAGATCCGTGAATATCCATCGTTGACGTTGTCATAGAGGCGCCCTGACTGCTACCACTGCGTGATCCGGTCGGGCCGCAGAAGCCGCAATCGTTGCAAATGGCGTTGGGGTTGCCTCTTTGGATCAACTGAGTTCCACACCTCGTTGGCGAGTCCATCTTCGCAAGAGGTAAGCTGTAGAAGAGAAGACGGTGCAATCAAAACGTTAAGCCAGAATGTGCAATGCATTCAGAACCGCTTGAGCCAAAAATGGCGTCGGAACTAAGATCTCTGGTAACTGGTCAACAATATGTGTAATTCGCGCGGGCGGGGCGGCCCCTGGGAGCCCACGGACCCAAAGTACCCTGGGAGCAGCCGGGCTGTAGTCCAGCAGACTCCCGCAGAGCGCCCCATGAGCGCTCGAAGAGGGCCCCCAAGGCCCCCAAGACGGTCCAAGTGGGCTCCGAGTCACCGAACGACTGGTCCAAGACTCCCAAGATAGCCTCCAGACGGCCCAAGACGCCTTTAAGACGCCCCAAGGAGGCATCAAGAGACCTCCCAAGAGAGCTTCCAGAAATACAAATTTGTGATTATCCATCGGTTCTTGAAATTTTGTCGTTTTCGTCTTTTTGGCTTCCCGGCGCACCAAGAAATCCCCAAGATCGCCCCAACACGGCCCAAGAGGCCTCCAAGAGCGCCCCAAAACGACCCCAGAGAGCCCCAAGACAGACCCAGAGGCGACCAAGATGGCCCCAAAGGCCCCCAGGACGGCTCCCAGAGCGGGCCCAGACGGGAGACCCGAACAGACATTTCGAGCTGCAGGCCCCGAGAAGTCCCCAGGAGGCCCCCATGAGGCCCCCGAGAATCCCCAAGAGACCCCCGAAAGGCCCCCAAGAGGCCCCCGTGATGCCCCAGGAGGTCCCAGAAATACTGCCCACAGGCCCCCAGAGAGGCCCCCCCAAAAACTTGAAAACAGCCTCCCAAAGAGGCGCTTGGCCACGGCCAGTTTGGCCACATAATGGCCCAAGAAGCTATCGGGAGGCTTCCTTCTCAGCATCCTCATGCTTCCCTTCTCCTCCTCCTCCCTCCTCCTCCTCCTCCTCTTCCTCCTCCTCCTCATCATCAGCACCATCAGCATCACCCTTACAGCTCGCAACGAGCACACCAAGTAACAGCACCAGTGCTACAATATAGGCTGAGGGGCCATCACAAAACGGGCCACGGCACGAAAGACCAGCCCCTGAAGAGGTCGAGAGGCCCAGGTGCTCGAGCAGTAGAAGCAAACACGGCGTCGGTTGTCTGCAATAATGGTAGGGCTCTGCAGGGGCTCTGCCTCGTCCTCGTCCTCGTTCTCCTGCTCCTCGTCCTTCTCCTCCTCCTATTCCTCCTCGTCCCCCTTCCCTTTCCTCAGCATCTTCCCTTCGCTTCCATTCGCCCATCCCCCCAGATGTCTTCCTTCTTGCTAGTCCGATCCATCAGGGCAAACTGACCACACACACACACACAAACACAAGGGAACAACATGCGGAAGGAGGGAAGAATAAGGAGGAGGAGAGAAAATAAGGAGGAAGGGAGAAACAACACATTGTTCCTTCACGCCCATGTCCGCAAAGACAAAGGGCATCAAGACAAGAAGAGAAGCAATGTTTTTCAATGCCTGCCACCGTCCGACACGAGGGCCCCAACATCGCATAACAATGTTTTCTCCCCCACCTCGCATGCTTCCCGCAAGAGCATCCACGGGGCGCCAGAGGCCCCCCAAGGCGGCACAACCCAGAAGCCCCGTGAAAAACAACGACTCCCCAAACAACCACCCAGTTGGCGCCAACGAGTCGACATGAAGCTGCTCCACGACAGCTAGCTAACTCAACCCCAGCATGCCTGACGCAACGCCACGGAGAAACAAAAAAACAACCGCCGCACCCTGCAGCTCCCATCTGCTGACGACCACTCGGCCAGTCGACCGCGGTCCGCATTAGGGGCTGGCGGAATGGACGAAGCGATTCATGACTGTCTGTGTACATATGTATGGGATGTAAATGCACATACATCAATATATGTGTAGTAGCACACACGCACATGTACATGTCCATGTACATATCTATTCATTTGCATTACATGTTGCTGGAATGTGTTAAGGTTCTAACCTGTTTGGCTTTCCGACCGCCCAAGACGATCCAAAAGGCCCCCGAGATAGCTTCAAGACGGCCAGCGAGGCCCCAAAAGAGCGCCCCAAGAGAGCACAAGAGGACTCCAAGAGCGCCCAAGAGCCTCCCAAGACGGCCCCAATACTGCCCCAGATCGCTCCACGGAGGCGCAAGGACGGCCGAGATAGGCTCCAAGACGGCCTCCGACGGCGTCAGATGGGCCAAGGGCCCATTTAGACTGCCCAAAAGACCCCAACAAAAACGCCACAGAGGCCCCAAAGAGGCCCCAAGAGTCCCCCATTGGACGGTTTTCTTGGTTCTATTCCTTTTCCAACACTTGGGCCAAATTCGCGCCGGGCGCGCCCACCCCTGCTGCCCGCGGCCGGGCAGAAAAGCACTACAAAAGTAAGTTGGGGATCAGGCTGCATTAATTTTGGAGCTTGCTCAACAAAAACGACCGGTCCCCTGTCGGACTGCGACCGAAGAGTCGACGACCAACGGCATGCTAGCATTCCAGCACGACTCTCCTGGAAGGGGAGCGGTGGGCGCTTCGGCCAAGTCCCTTTTCGTCGACGCTCGCCCGCCGACTGCAAACTGGCTACAGATCCAGCAAACCCCGGCCCCCGTGAGTCACGACTTTTTTATGGCGTTTGTTTTGTGGGTTTTTGTTCGGCGATGGTTTGGGTATTATGTTTCATGGTCCGTTGTCGTTTCTGTAATTATCCGCCGACCCCTTGTGGGCCTCTATGCGTTTGAGATGATATCTCCCCACAATCCCCCCCCGGGACCCCAAGCCGGCAATTGGACCCCTCCCCCCCTGCCCGGCGCGACCCCGGACCGAACGCGTTATGGGGGAGCGGAGGGCTCTAAAACGGGCCAAGAAGGTACCAAAACGCTCCCCAGACGGTCCAGAGGGCCACGAGTCGCCGAAATATCGCTCCTTGACGCCCACGATTGCCTCCAGACGGCCTCCGAAGCTGCCAAGATGCCCCAAAAAGCCCCCAAGATGCGTCCCAACAGGGCCCCAAGAAGCAACGATCTTCCCATTCCCTTTGAAAAAAAATGTTTCGCATACTCGCATTTCCGGCTTTCACAACGCCCAAGACAAGCAAATAAACATCCAATATCGCCCCCGGACGGCCGAAGGGGCCCCCAAGCCGGGCCGAATAGGATCCAAAAACAACCCACGAAGCCCCCAAAACAGCCCAAGAGGACCCCCAGGCGGCTCCAAGAGGGAGTCCAGAGGGCACCTTTTCGAGCCTTCGGCCGCAAGACGCCCCCAACCTGCCCCAAGACCACCCCAAGAGGCCTTGAGGGACCCCCAAGAGAACCTCAAAGGCCTCCAAGAAGCCCCCAGGAAGCCCCCAACAGGCCCCAAAACTTGGCCCAAGATGCCTCGAGGCGGCCGGATATGGCCTGCACACAAGCCAAAATGCTACCACAAGGCAGCAAAACAGCACCGATGCTTACCATAAGAACACCGAAGCAACAATAACGATGGGCCTCGTGAAACTCAGTCCTGCAGGCGCAATCTTCATATAGGGCTCGGCGGATGTGGCGCAAGCCTGTAGAATCTTGACAATTCGTATTGACAGCGCGAGGTAAACCCTTGAAATGCCTTCGGAGCCCCTGTCAAGGCTTGGTAACCCTTGACACCCACTGGTACGCCTTAAGCAGCGCCGACGCCTGACAAGCCTCAGGCTGTTGTCAATGGTCGGACGCTGGCCACTTGGATATCCATGTTATCATTGGTTTGTGCGTAAGTATCGTACGATAGACAATACAAGGCTCCCCACGCACGCGGATTTTTGTAGTGTACACAATCGGAAGAAGAAGAAGAAAAAAAAACCTTAGCGGTGGCCGACTGGATTTTGGGTGACCCGCGCGGTGGGCGGGCCACCCGCCGCGCGTGCGCGAGCGCGTGGCGAATCCTG